TGACATTTGCCACTGAACACCAGAACTGGCAGGTCTACCACTGGCACCCTGTGCTTTTCACAGATGAAAGCAGGTTTACCTTGAGCCCATGTGACAGACATGAAAAGGTCTAGAGAAGCCATGGAGAACTTTATGGTGCCTGTAACATCATTCAACGTGACCATTTTGGTGGTAAGTCAGTGCTGGTCTGGGGAGGAATATCCATTGAGGGATGCACAGACCCCAACCTCCTAGACAATGGCACCTTGACTGCCATTAGGTATCTGGATGAAATCCTTGGACCCATTTTCAGCCCCTACGCTGGTGCAGTGGGTTCCTCCTGGTGCACGAAAATGTCCGGCCTCATGTGACAAGAGTATGCAGGCAGTTCCTGGAGGATGAAGGAATTGATACCATTGAATCGCTCACCTGACCTAAATGCAATAGAACACCTCTGGGATATCATGTTTCTGTCCATCCAACACCACCAGGTTGCATCTCAGACTGTCCAGGAGCTCAGTGATGCCCTGGTCCAGATCTGTGAGGAAATACCCCAGAACACTATCTGTTTGCTAATTAGGAGCATGTCCTGACGTTATCAGGCATGCATACAAGCACGTGGGGCCATATAATTTTCTGAGTACCATTTTGAGTTGCTGCAATGAAATTTCAGCAAAATGGACTAGCCTGCTGCATCATGTTTTCACTTTGATTTTCGGGTGTCTTTGAATTCAGTCCTCTGTAGGTTAATTGTCATTTCCATCAAATGATGGGGCATCCTTATGTTCCTTACACATTTCCCAGCCCATAGCAGTTTAAATATCCAGCATATTTTCCTCATTGAGATCTGATGTGTTTTCAAAGACTTTTTTTTTTTTTTTTATCATTGTATATGGATGAAATAAAAATGTATTTTAATTAATAATGCTGTGCCTCAAAAGTCCCATTCTATATTTTTTTCATATTGCAATAGACTCAGGGATGTGGCATATCTATTTTTTTTATGTTATATCTTGGTTGGATCTAAATTTATCATGCGCTGTAGATATTTTTAGCAGGGGATCCCTGAGACCAAAAAGGAATTTCAAGGGTTCCTCTGTGATTAAAAGGTTGAGAAAGGCTGAACTAGATGTTGTATGTTAAAGTACTCTTCAGATTGCCAGAGGCTACGCTAACACCTACTTGCATACACATCTATTTATGTGGCTTAATTTGGTTTTAAAAAGAAGGAAACATTCATCTAGTAAAAGTGAATAAAAGGGAAACCATGTACTAATTATACAAATCAAGGCAAAATAGGACTTTATTTCTGAAATTCATCTGCATTTAATGACTGTCATCTCCCCCGTACAGTTACCTGACATGCAACCCTATATCATCAATGATTGTGGAAATTTGCATGTTTTCTTACAAGCAGTCATTTTTATACATTTCATTGTAACAGCACCAAACAAAAGTTCCAGTATCATCACCCTCCCCAATGGAGATTCGTAATTAATCACTGAATATCACTTTCATCCAGTCATCCACAGTCCATGATTGCTTTTCTTTAGCCCAATGTAACCTTGTTTTTTTCTGTTTTGGTGTTAATGATAGTTTTTGCTTGACTTTTCTGTATGTCAATTCCATTTCCTTTAGGCCATGTCTTACAGTTCAGCCACAGACATTGACTCCAGTTTCTGCCCATTTGTTTTGTTATGTAGTATCGGTTTTCAAAGCATATTGCTTTTAGTTTTCTATCTTGAGGCTTTGATGTCTTCCTTGGTCTACCAGTACGCTTTCCTTTTACTACCCATTTGATTTGTGCTTCATCCAGATTTTAGACAAAGCTGACTGGGAACCACCAACAGCCCTTGCAACATTGCATGATGATTTACCTTCGTGAAGTTTTATAATCCTCTCTTTTGTTTCAACTGACATTTCTCATGTTGGAGCCATGGTTCATGTCAATCAGCTTGGTCCTCCAGAGTTACCATGGGGCTCTTGCCTGCTTGTCTGATTGATGCTCTCCTTGCCAGGCCTGTCAGTTTAGATGGACGGCCAGGTCTTGGTAGGTTTGCAGTTGTGCCATACGCTTTCCATTTTCAGATGATGGATTGAACAGGGATCCGTGAGATGTCCAAAGCTGGGGAAAAATTTTTTTATAACCTAACCCTGCTTTAAATTTCTCCAAACCTTTATCCCTGACCTGTCTGGTGTTCCTTAACCTTCATGATGCTGTTTGTTCACGAATGTTCTCTAACAAACCTCAGAGGGCTTCACAGAAGAGCTGTATTTATACAGAGAATAAATTACATACAGGTGGACTATTTACTAATTAGGTGACTTCTGAAGGCAATAGGTTCCACTAGATTTAGTTAGGGGTATCAGAGTAAAGGGGGCAGAATACAAATGCACGTCACACTTTTCAGATATTTGTAAAAAATTTTAAAACTATTTATCATTTTCCTTTCACTTCACAATTATGTGCCACTTTGTGTTGGTCTATCACATAAAACACATTTACGTTTTTGGTTGTAACATGACAAAATGTGGAAAATTTCAAGGGGTATGAATACTTTTTCAAGGCACTGTAGATGGATAACACAAAAATGGTATACTTTTAAAAGTAAGTAAAACACCAAAATTGAATATATAAATCCTTTTGAACTTCAGAAACATTGCTGAGCTATTAGAATTACATAGGGAATTTAAACTTCAAAAAAAAGTAGTACAAACTGCTGACATTATTTTTTTTGTGGAAGTTAATCGGTGGTGCTGGTTTTCAGCCTTATGTAAAGGTTTAAAATCACTGATAAGTTAATAGTCCTGCCTAGGAGCAGGCAAACGCAAATGGCTGGCTGGAAAATTCCTTGTTAACCATGAAATCTCTACGTCTTCGCTGTTTGAAGTTAGTTTCATTTTGTTAACAAAGCCTGACTCCCCATTTTTAGGGCTAAGCTCCACCAATTGGCCTTCCCCTCTCCAATTTAAGTGACTCAATTTTCAGTAAGGGCACTCTTTTAGGATATTAGCAGTGGCAAGGCTTTTTTTCCCCCCCCAAAAGTCTAACACCAGATTTACTTTCACTTTAGCTAGTTTAGACTGTTTGCACTGCTTAGCCATTCACAGAAAGTCTTGTATTTTTATTAGTTAGGATGAAGAGGCAGGAAGTGGATGACATCACAATCTCTACTGAGGTATCAGAGATAGCCTTGTATTTATTGCTAAAATACAAGGCTTTCTGGGAATGGCTGAACAGCATTCAGCCCACTTGTTTTTGTGCTGGCAGGAAGTCCCCAAACCGCTGCCAAAACACAGCATTTCATACTGTATGTAGGTAATGCTACATACAGTTTGCACAGCACTGACACAGGGCTTCCTAACGTAATGAAATTTTTCATTTGGGCAAGCTTGGCCCAAGAGAACTATCTAATGTAAAAGTAAACCTAGAGTTAAGCTTTTGAGTGTTATAAAGCATAAGTTCATTCACCTTTGGGAACATGTTCCACCAGTTTTTATCCCCCCCCCCTCCCCCCATGACAGAAGTACAGGGAGAAGTCCTCGTACTAGCTGTCCACATTTAAAAACGACGTGGCAGTGCAGGGCTCCGCCCACAAGGCCGCTTCATTCATTTTACAGTGTTCTGTGAATGAATGCATTATGAGTCCCAGCAGCCTTTGCGGCTGTCGACTTGTAGTTCTCAAACTACGGTGCTCAATAAACTAAACGGTGCTGTGGCGTGCCGTGGTAGGTCATTCTTCTTGTCAGTATATCTGCTTTCCCATACGGGCAAGCAGATATACTGGCAGGTCTGCAGGAGACCCTGAATGGCACCAGCAATCTGCGGATTGCAAGTGCAATGCTTTACGGGCTCCTGTAGCCAAAAATAATAAATGCACTTTTTTTTTTTACCTGCAAAAAAGAAAAAATAAAAATGTTCTTTTATTACTTTTTTGAAAAAGGTGAACTTATCCTTCTTTTAATCAAAATAAAACATGTATATGCACCTGCTCTGTGCAAGAGTGGTCCTGCACCTCCTCTTCTGGTGTCACCCGGCAGTGCTCTTTGTTCCTCCTCTTCTCCGTGTGCCCCCACAGCAAGCCGCTTGCTATGGGGACACAGTGCATGCTCACTCCCGAGCTGTGTGGCTTGGCTCCAACCCTAACTTCCTCCTAACAGCATTTGATTGATTTGTTTGACAGCAGCGGGAACAAATGGCTTCTACTGCTGTTCCTGTGTGTAGAGGAAGGGAGGAGAGAGGAGATGCAGCCATGCACAGATCTGGATCGATTAAGGACTCAGGTAGGTGTTTAGGAAGGGGGGGGTAGGGGTAGTGGACAGCAAGCTATAAAACAGTTTTACCTTAAAAAGTACGGCCAAAGCGCTTATGGATCACAGGAGTTCCGTTCGTTTGATACTCCTGTGACCCGTTTTCAGCTGACAGTCACCGCTCTATGCTCACAGTGGCGGTGAAAACTCAGAGGTCTTGTGTGATCGCTGAGTTTTGACACTTAGAGCCAGTGGGGGACTGATGCTACATCCACCTAGGTAAGTATCATTTGGGGGGCGGGGGGGGGGGGGACACACAAAAACAAACATTCTAATGCAAGGAATGCATTAGGATAAAAAGAAAAAATATTTTCGCTTTAGAACCACTTTAAGTCAGACCCAATAGGAAAGTAAAAATAGTTCTAAATAGCAAAAAAGGAGAAAGGTTTACTTACTAGCAAAGATAATAGTCGGCAACGTGTGCTGTATGGTCTTGGGCACAACTTTTACTTTTAAGAAACATTAAAAATGGCTGAGGTGTTCACTATTAAGGAAAAATCTATAACAAAATACTATACCAAATACAATTTGTGAACTGTAACCATTACAGAATACAGAGGTATGTAACAATGTGCAAGTAAGCTCAGATTAGAAAAACTGGACCTGCAACAAAAGAACTGTTTGACTGAACCCAATAAAGGGAAGGTGTCGGGGAAGCTGTTCTTACCAAAAAAAAAAAAAAAAAAAAAAAAAACAAAAAAAACTTGCAATCAATAGTCCTTTATATTTTCTTTGTTCTCCCCATCCCTCTGCTTGAGCTGCTGGATCTCATTTTCTAGTTGCACAATAGCACGCTCTATCTCATAGTTCTTACTTACAAGGGATACCCACCTGAAAGGATAAAGAAAAATAAATTACATAAATCTAAATTTAATATAGATTATAATATACATGCACTGAGAATTAGTGAATATTTTATTTAAAAAAAAAAAAAAAAAAAAACTTACAGCATTTCTGTGTTGAAAAAGGGTGGTGAATGTATGTACAGAGCAATCACTTTTCTTTAATCAAATTCCAGAACCCCCCTCCAGCTTTTAATCAAATAGACCAAAATGTACAAGTGTAGTATATGAGAACACCACAAGATTACATGCTGAGAAAGATAAGTCATCCCTTTTACTGGAACTTAAGAAAAAAATTAGTGGACAGGATTTTTAATGCAGAAGAGACATGCTTTGTCTCTTCTACATTAAAGTTACTTACCTGTCTGTCTGCCCCTGTACACAAGCAACTCATTCTACAGATCACTGAACTCCCACACAAATGTATGGGAGTGATGTCATCTAGGCACAGCCAATGAAAACTGCCAAATATCAAGACCTGGAAGTCAGCCACCTGAAAGGCAGAGGGGAGCTCAGAGATTCCGCACTGCTGGACTGAAGGAAGTATAGTTCCACTTTAAGCACAAAATATAAGTCTGAGATGCCCAGTCTTTTTAATTAGTAACTAACCGTAATACCTCTTCACTACCTGAACTGACAATTACTTGGTCAACTGTGACAATGTACCCAATATTTATTTTTTTTTTTTTAAATCAAACCACCACTCTCTTCCCCTTATGTTCGGTTATAAAACATATCAAATAAAATTAAAAAAAAAAAAAAAAAAAAGTGCATCAGGATGGTACAAAACCCTTCAAAAAATGTCCCTTTTTGGAAAACAGACACACCAAGATGACCTCATTTTTTTGCCAATCTTTTGTAAATTGAGAAACATGTTAGTATTGGAGGTGGACCTTGGTAATGTTGCACCAAGGAAAAAAAAAATAAAAAAAAGCCCACACAGACAGTTAATTTGACTGTTTGAATCTGCATCAGATGCTGATCCCTTTATGCATTTATTGATTATCCTCACTTCCTCTCCTTCCACAGTTGTAAGAGGAAGGGGCAGAATCAAATGTAAACATTGTTATTTGTGATCACTGTGATTGGTCATCACAGCAGCCACAATATACAGAGCAGCTCTAATCAGCTGTGTACATTGTGTCAGATCTCAGCCATCTCAGATCACAGCCATTCATTTAAAAATGGCATTACAGAAATATATGTTCCACCCTCTGCCATTCTATGAGAGCAGCAAAGTGGTTAAAGAAGCAGGAGTTGTACGTAACAGCAGGTTTAGTTAATGCAAGGCTATCCCTGAACTAGCACACTCCAAATAAACTGGTTGGTTATTAAAAACAGAAACCAGTCATGTGCACTGAATGCTGAACAGTGCATTGCCTCCCGGGTACTCGGATTCACTATATTTCAAACTGGACAGACATAATTTTTGGACTGTGAAGGTGTATTGTATCCATTGCACACCTTACAGGCTTGCTCATAGCTCATGCACGATGCTATAGTAAAATGGTGGATGGCGCCACCATACAAGCATAAGTGATAAAAACTTTCACCAGCATACCTTGGGATAGTGATAGCCTTTATTTCCATAAAGCAACATGCATTACAAGCCGACATTTCCAGACCTCAAAGCATCCCTTTCTGAAGTCAGAGTTCAGAAACGTCGGCTTGTGATGCATGTTGCTCTATGTGAATAAAAGGACAAGACAGGATTGTCACTATCCCAAAAGATCCATATTTCTTTACCATTGTTGGATGGAACTGGGGAGTCCCCCAAACAATCCGATGACGTAGGAGATACCAAGCAGCTCGAGTGCACAACTCTCATCAACAGAATACTACAAGGATACGAAACGTGCAGTGGTTTAACGCCACATCAACAAAAATGAATATATAATTTTGAAGTGCACAGATTAATTACAGCACAGGTATCATAATTTTTTGTCAGTTGAGCCAATTCACCTCTGTTGCAGGGTCAGGAGGTTGTTTACAATGAAAGACAGAACTGACCACAGTTGCCAAACAATTTTGTTTGCCTTCACCTGGACTAAACACTGGAAAGTAACATATATTGAGTAGGTTTGCAAAAATGTATTTTCACTTACGTTGACTCCATTTCTCTCAATTTTGCACCTGATGTAAGTTGAGAGTTCTTTCTCTGCCAGTTCAAATCCTGAATACGCTTTCTAGGAGGAAAAAAAAAAAAAAAAAAAGTGAAATGAAAATTACCAAATTAATTCCCGGGTGTAAATTAAATGAAAGGTTTACTAACTGTAAAGAAGAAAAGAAAAGGGGAAAAAAAAAAATTGCAATCCACTCCCTACATATGCCTATACTATACCTTCCTTTACCACACTCAGATCAGCAAAGCCACTGAATAAATATCCTGGTAATTCAGGTTATGGGGAAGCATAACTTTGAGAATTAACATTTGGATAGTATAATGGAAGTGTATCCAAACTAGGTTTGTGAAAATCAAAGTAAAAGGCCCAAAAGATATTTTGATATATCATTCTCCCCTCTTTAAAATTAATAATTTCAAGTAGCAAAAAAAAAAGTTCTCACCTTAATTTTTGAAGATCTTTTTGTGCAGTTTCAATCATACGCACAAGGTTTCTAAAAGACAACAGTCAGGATATCAGTCATAGGACACAACTGACCCATTATATTAAACCTTCAAAAATGATCACAGAGGGGCACTCGCTATGGATTTAAAAGGTGCACTTTATATTTAAGCATTCTCTTGTGCAGAAACACCCCAGCCTAGCCTACTCCCCTCAGATTCCTCCCCCCTACAAGTCACCTTGCTATCCCCACTCTTTTTGCCTCCCCACCCCCGCTACATAGTTTTCACGTCGGCACATACACTTCACCACCCCCATTATTACAGCAACATTATACTCCCCCTAGATCTCCACAAATCTTGGTGTGAGGGCAACATAGATACCTTTGTGCTCTCATATTTGTAGGTTTGTGTGTCCTTTATCCATGTAATGGATAATTTTATTTTTGCATAGATGACCACATTGAACTGGGGTGTTCCTCATGGTTAGTTATTTCTCCTATTTCAAGGCAGTTGAAAGACTACATCTTACACATCATGCTTCCCCCCCATCAAAGGAACACATCTATAAACAAAGTTTACTTTTGCAGATGTAAACCGTTTGTTAAAGCACTACGAAAAGAAAAATTACAGGTGAGTAGACTTTTACCGGTCCTTAATCATACAGTGACATGCTGCTTGAACTCTTGCGCAGTCACATGTACACTCAACTGCTTCCTACTTTTTTCAGTAAAAATGGGAAGGATTGGCCCAGCTGCAAAGAGATTTTTCAGTAAATTGGAGAATTTGATAACCAGCATTTTGCTGGAAGGGCTACAGAAGTATTTATTACCTGAAAGCATTTTTATGCAATAATGAGCATTTAACCCTTTCGTCCCAGGTCTGTATGTTGACAGCAAGTCAGTACATTGAGAGACCTGACAGCAGGGGGTTTTATACACAATCCGGTGGTTGCAGCCACTGGGATTGTGTATAGTACTGACAGGCAGACTCCTGCCTGTCAGGTGGAAGCAGTCAAGCGCTGCACTGCCATGCAAATGCTTCTACAGCCCCCCGTACCGGTGCACCCCCAATCCCCCCCCCACTTGCCCATCTGCAGGCCTGGGAGCACCATGGCAGGAGCAGGGGAGAGAGGACACTCTCCTTTTCTGTGACCCGGAAAGGTGCCGTGTATGATGTCACTTCAAAGTCACGGCTGTCACTTTCCCAAGAACTTTGTATCCCCTATGTGATTAAAAAAAAAAAAAAAAAAGAAAAGTTGAAGTAAAATTTTTTTTCTTTTAAAATTGCAAAAAAAAAAAAAAAAAAAAAAAAAAAGTTACGCACGAACACATTACACACACCCCCCCCCCCCCCACATATATTCATTTACAAAACTTAAAAGCACAAATCGGGGGCACCTACGCGTGAAAACGGCAATTGTCATACACGTTACATATCGCCACACACGCTGGAATGAGAGCAATAATTCTAGCACAAGACCTCCTCTGTAACACTAAACTGATGACCTAGAGAGGCTTTTGAAGCATTGCCTATAGAAAATATAGGGTACTGAAGTTTCTCGCCATTTCTTAGGCACACTCTTGGGTATCTTTCTACTTGGCACAACCTCATATTTTAATTTTTTTGGGTAATTTATTTAATGTGTGTTTGCCGAAAAAATTCACTTTAGTGCATTTTTTATTGAAATTTAGTGTTTCCTAGACCTTTGCCGTAATATTTGGTGACATAAAAAATTTTAACTGCCACTAATTTATCCTCTAGGGTGTCTGCTTTCAGAAAATATATAATGTCTGGGGGGTTTGTGTAACCTTCAGGCCTGAAATTTTTTAAACGTGTGGAAAAACTGCTCAGGCAGTGAAAGGGTTAAGCATGGGTGTAAAAGGGAAAAATTAGTCTAGACAGTGAAAGTGTAACTCAAGAACCGATTTGAGAACATGACCCTAAAGAGAAGAAAGAACCACAGATGGACAGGACAAAATTGTGCGCTAAAATTCATAACCAAGGCTTAATCTTTGTAAGAATTCAAAGAACAATTTCTCAGCTTTGACTTAAAGTGTTACTAAACCCACAACAGTAAAATCAGTCTGTATATGCAGTAAAGCATGCTTGTTATACTCACTGTGGAACCTAAAGGGTAATAGCCGCATTGTGTAAAAAGGCTGTTTGATCCTGTCTTCTCTGATTCTCCCCTTCTTTTACAGCCTCCAATACACCTGCTGAAAGGACAGAGCCCTAGGAGGCACTCTGCACATGCTCAGTTTGTATTTCTATGTGTATTTCTAGAGGGTTTGTTTGGGAGGGTGTATCAGCACAGTGCCAATCAGAACCATCCAGACAGAGGGTCAGGGGTCATGCAGACTCATCGACAGTCAGAAGAGGATGAAAACTCCTCCGACAAGATTAACCAGTGCTCAACCAAACACTGACAGAAGTCACAAAACTGCTATATACTGTTGATGAAAAAAAGGTATTCAGCAGTTTATATTTACTAAAAATAAATTGCATTTCCATGTTCTGTGAACCGTAGGAGACCAGATATAGTGAATGCAGGGTCCTGGGTTTAGCAACACTTTAATACAACACAAACCCTCTCCACCCCCTAGGTGCAGGTAATAAATGGGATAGGGTTGGGGCCATACACAGCTGCCGGAAAAGTAGAGTGACAGCTTATTCTACTGTGACGGACAGCAGAAATATTCTTTTATTTTTGTGTTGTTTTGTTAACAGTGTGGCCAACAGTCAGCTTGTCTGCTTTGTTTATAATTTGAAGTTCCTGTGCTCCGCAGGGGGTGGGAGGTGAGAGTTATCCCAGTAAGGAGCGCAGACAGCATGGTGTTTTATGGCTATGGAAAGCCAGACGTGTTGGCACCGGGAGCTTGGGGCTTGGTCAATTGAAAGGGCCATATACTGTCCCTATGTGGGGAAAAAGACTCTTAGAATGGGAGAGCTTGAGTCAGGATGGACAGAGCAATGCATCTCCAAGTTAAGTCTCAGCCATGAACGGAACTGTGCTTTGCGCACTGCTGGGACTTGTGGTCCTATATTGCCTGTGTAGTCTTGAAGCTGCGGCCAAGACACAACCCTCTGAAGACCCGTGAGGAGTTGGTGCCTATCTGCCTAGACTTCCTCTGCTGAGGCCACTCCTGGCTGGTGAGTCCCTGGATCGCTACCCTGTGAACTGCCCTCTGCTGAGTGCCCGGACCTCCTGCCTGCCAGAGCTATCTTCTGCTGTGTGCCCTGATTACCCTGCCTGCCAGAGCTGCCTTCTGCTGAGTGCCCGGACCTCCTGCCTGCCAGAGCTACCTTCTGCTGTGTGCCCTGATTACCCTGCCTGCCAGAGCTACCTTCTGCTGTGTGCCCGGATTACCCTGCCTGCCAGAGCTACCTTCTGCTGTGTGCCCCGATTACCCCGCCTGCCAGAACTGCCTCCTGCTGAGTGCCCGGACCTGCCGCCTGCCAGAGCTGCCTTCTGCTGTGTGCCCTGATTACCCTTGCCTGCCAGAGCTGCCTTCTGCTGTGTGCTCGGATTATATTTGCCTGAACTGCCCCTCTACTGTGTGCCCGGATTGCCCATTGTCTGCCAGCCTTCCCTTCTGCTGCGTGCCCGGACTTACCCATTGTCTGTCTGAACTGCCTTGTTGTAGCCTGGACTTTACCCATTACCTGCCTGAACTGTTCCTCTGCTGTGTGCCCCGGACTTAACCCTTGCTGCACCGATCAAGTGCCCCAAATCCCTCAATAAAAACCTTGTGTGCCCACTGCTCTGCGCGTGTGTTCTGTCTCACCTATACCTCCGTCACAGCTACTAAATACAATATTTTGTTTATTCAGTTAATGTTTGTTACAGGTTTGCAAAGCCATTCATATTTTAAAAGACTATTTTTCTCTTCCTAAGTTGAACTCACTCATTATAGACTTTCCATGCATTGCAACCATGCTGGGACATAATTTCAAGGTTCTCAATTCGAATTGCCTGGTGCTCCAGCTGTGCCATTGAGTTATTGACGCACTCCTGCCATGCTGTTATGTCATTCCTCTGACCCGAAGAAGGGGCAGGTAATTCATATCTGGAAAGTAGAAGACATACAAAAACTGCATTATGATTCATTTTCAAGACACGTCTAAACAAGTTTTAGATTTGTTCTTTACAAGCTTCACACACACATTTTTACAAATCATTAAATAAAAGAATATTGTACTTCAGAAGAAAAAGAAAAAAACATCTGTATGCATCATCCACAAAAAAGGACAAAAAGGCATAACAAGTAAATATGTAATACTATTTACTGCAGCTTTAAACTGCACCCTATAATAATAAATAACTAAATATACCATATCAAAATAATGAATACATATTTACAAAGCAAAGCACAGAACTGGAAGTCAGTATTAACAATCCATAGAATCTGTGCATAGGTATAGACAAATGGGTAAATCAAAGCAATGTCTGCACCTTTTAAAAAGGTAATTATGCATCTGCATAAAATTTATGTTTCAGCCTTAAATCAAAAGAACAGATGAGCACAGATATGCACGATGACATGTCGGGAATGTGAAGGGCCACACATCAATATAAAAACAAAAAAATAAAAGCCACCTTTTCATGCTGAGAAGTTCAAGCGGTTGGCGAGCAGATAGTCTTTCAAACTCGTTCCTCATTATTTCAGTCTGCAAATAAAAGGCCACATAAAACAAAGAGCAGTAAGTTACCTGACTTGAATACAGAATTTCCCCAGCAAAGTATACAGCAGTTTTGATTTGTCTCTGGTAGTAAGGGCAATTTATGATATGGAGCACCTCCTCCCCCATGTGAAAGCATTGCTATATTGTTGGCAGGTGGGAAGGAATGTGTCAAGTTCCTCAACACTGGACTTTTCAGACCTCTGGTTGTGGACTGGTAAGGTAGAGGAGCACTGCCTGCTATAAAGTGGACCCTGTTACCCTACCTAGTAGAAACAAAGCAACATTTCTGTTAAAATATAGTATATGTAAACCCTCACTTTTTAAATATTTTGCCTTCCATTTTTCCATTTCTATTTTAAACTGAATTATTTTGTGTAAAAGATATAAACATTATATATATATATATATATATATATATATATATATATATATATATATATATATATATATACATATATATATACACAGTGGGGATCGAAAGTTTGGGCACCCCAGCTAAAAATTTGTATTAATGTGCATAAAGAAGCCAAGGAAAGATGGAAAAATCTCCATAAGGCATCAAAGTACAGATTAGACATTCTTATAATATGTCAACAAAAGTTAGATTTTATTTCCATCATTTACACTTTCAAAATAACAGAAAACAAAAAAATGGCGTCTGCAAAAGTTTGGGCACCCTGCAGAATTTATAGCATGCACTGCCCCCTTTGCCAAGCTGAGACCTGTCAGTGTCATGGATTGTTCTCAATCATCGTCTGGGAAGACCAGGTAATGTCAAGCTCAACGGTTTTAAATGCCCAGACTCATCTGACCTTGCCCCAACAATCAGCACCATGGGTTCTTCTAAGCAGTTGTCTAGAAAACTGAAACTGAAAATAGTTGATGCTCACAAAGCTGGAGAAGGCTATAAGAAGATAGCAAAGCGTTTTCAGATGTCAATATCCTCTGTTCGGAATGTAATTAAGAAATGGCAGTCATCAGGAACAGTGGAAGTTAAAGCAAGATCTGGAAGACCAAGAAAAATATCAGACAGAACAGCTCGCAGGATTGTGAGAAAAACAATTCAAAACCCACGTTTGACTGCACGATCCCTCCAGAAAGATCTGGCAGACACTGGAGTTGTGGTACACTATTCCACTATAAAGAGATACTTGTACAAATATGGTCTTCATGGAAGAGTCATCAGAAGAAAACCTCTTCTATGTCCTCACCGCAAAAATCATTGTTTGAACTTTGCAAATGAACATATAAACAAGCCTGATGCATTTTGGAAACAAGTTCTGTGGACCGATGAGGTTAAAATTGAACTTTTTGGCTGGAATGAGCAAAGGTACGTTTGGAGAAGAAGGGGCACAGAATTTAATGAAAAGAACCTCTGTCCAACTGTTAAGCATGGGGTTGGATCAATCATGCTTTGGGGTTGTGTTGCAGCCAGTGGCACAGGGAACATCTCACGAGTAGAAGGAAAAATGGATTCAATAAAATTTCAGCAAATTTTGGATGGTAACTTGATGCCATCTGTGAAAAAGCAGAAGTTAAAGAGAGGATGGCTTCTACAAATGGATAATGATCCTAAACACACCTCGAAATCCACGGGGGATTACATCAAGAGGCGTAAACTGAAGGTTTTGCCATGGCCTTCACAGTCTCCTGACCTCAACATAATTGAAAATCTATGGATAACCTTAAAAGCGCAGTGCGTGACAGACAGCCCAGAAATCTCAAAGAACTGGAAGACTTTTGTAAGGAAGAATGGGCAAAGATACCTCAAACAAGAATTGAAAGACTCTTGGCTGGCTACAAAAAGCGTTTACAAGCTGTGATACTTGCCAAAGGGGGCAGTACAAGATATTAACTCTGCAGGGTGCCCAAACTTTTGCAGACGCCATTTTTTTGTTTTCGGTTATTTTGAAAGTGTAAATGATGGAAATAAAATCTAACTTTTGCTGACATATTATAAGAATGTCTAATCTGTAATTTGATGCCTTTTGGAGATTTTTCCATCTTTCCTTGGCTTCTTTATGCACATTAATACAAATTTTTAGCTGGGGTGCCCATACTTTCGATCCCCACTGTATACATACACACACACACACACACACACACACACACACACACACACACACACACACACACACACACACACAGACACAGACACATATAGTTGTGTTCAAAATAATAGCAGTGTGTTGAAAAAAATGAATAAAGCTCAAAATCCTTCTAATAGCTTTTATTTCCATACACACAAATGCATTGGGAACATTACACATTCTATTCCAAATCAAAACATGAAGAAAAATATCAAATTTGTGTTGTTGCTCTAAAAAAATTGAAGAAAAGTGATTAGACTGTTCAAGAAAATAGCAGTTTGTATTCTTCTTTACAAACTCAAACATTCACTATATAAACTGAAAAATGTTTGAAGATTTTGCTTTCCTTTGAATCACTTAATATTTAGTTGTATAAGCACTGTTTCTGAGAACTGCTGTACATCTGTGTTGCGTGGAGTCAACCAACTTCTGGCACCTGTGAACAGGTATTCCAGCCCAGGATGACTGGACTACATTCCACAGTTCTTCTCTATTTCTGGGTTTTGCCTCAGAAACTGCATTTTTGATGTCACCCCACAAGTTTTCTATTGGATTAAGATCCAGGGATTGGGCTGGCCACTCCATAACGTCAATCTTGTTGGTCTGGAACCAAGATGTTGCATGTTTACTGGTGTGTTTGGGGTCGTTGTCTTGTTGGAACACCCATTTCAAGGGCATTTCCTCTTCAGCATAACCTCTTCAAGCAGGGGCGGACTGACAACTCATGGGGCCCCTGGGCAATAGGGGATCATGGGGCCCGTGTCCTTGCCCAAACTCAAAAAAGCCTATGAAAAAGGTACCAGGGGCATCTCATGGGTCCCCCTACTCACCCCGGGCCCTCAGGCAATGCCAGAGTTTCCAAATGGTCAGTCCGCCCCGGTCTTCAAGTATTCTGATGTATTCAAACTGATCCATGATCCCTGGTATGCGATAAATAGGCCCAACACCGTAGTATGAGAAACATCCCCATATCATGATGCTTGCGCAACCATGCTTCACTGTCTTCCCAGTGTACTGTGGCTTGAATTCAGTGTTTGGGGGTCGTCTGACAAACTGTCTCCAGCCACTAGACCCAAAAAGAACAATCTTACTTCCATCAGTCCAAAAAATGTTGCGCCATTTCTCTTTAGGCCAGTCAATGTGCTCTTTGGCAAATTGTAACCTCTTCAGCACGTCTTTTTTTCAACAGTGGGACTTTGCGGGGATAGCTTGGCTTCACATTCTTTGCAGATAGCTTGGCTTCACTAATTGTAACAATTGCTAGTAAATTATTTGCCATGTAGAAATATCATTTCTACCAAAAACAGTGATTGATCAGGTTAGTGATGTCTGACTGCTATTATTTTAAACACAACTGTATATACACACACATACATACACATATATACATATACACACATAGGTGAAACTCAAAAAATTAGAATATCGTGCAAAAGTTCATTTATTTCAGTAATGCAACTTAAAAGGTGAAACTAATATATGAGATAGACTCATTACATGCAAAGCAAGATAGTTAAAGCCGTGATTTATCATATTTGTGATGATTATGGCTTACAGCTCATGAAACCCAAATCCACAATCTCAGAAAATTAGAATATTACATGCAATCAATAAAACAAGGATTGTACATAGAACAATATCGGACCTCTGAAAAGTATAAGCATGCATATGTACTCAGTACTTGGTTTGGGCCCCTTTTGCAGCAATTACTGCCTCAAGGCGGCGTGGCATGGAAGCTATCAGCCTGTGGCACTGCTGAGGTGTTAAGGAAGACCAGGATGCTTCAATAGCGGCCTTCAGCTCTTCTGCATTGTTTGGTCTCATGTCTCTCATCTTTCTCTTGGCAATGCCCCATAGATTCTCTATGGGGTTCAGGTCAGGCGAGTTTGTTGGCCAATCAAGCACAGTAATCCCACGGTCATTGAACCAGGTTTTGGTGCTTTTGGCAGTGTGGGCAGGTGCCAAGTCCTGCTGGAAAATGAAGTCAGCATCCCCATAAAGCTCGTCCGTGGAAGGAAGCATGAAGTGCTCCAAAATCTCCTGGTAGACAGCTGTGTTGACCCTGGACTTAATGAAGCACAGTGGACCAACACCAGCAGATGACATGGCTCCCCAAATCAACACAGACTGTGGAAACTTCACACTGGACTTCAAGCATCTTGCAGTGTGTGCCTCTCCATTCTTCCTCCATACTCTGGGTTCTTGGTTTCCAAATAAAATGCAAACGTTGCTCTCATCAGAAGAGGACTTTGGACCACTGAGCAACAGACCAGGTCTGTTTTTCTTTAGCCCAGGTAAGACGCTTCTGACGTTGTTTGTTCTTCAGGAGCGGCTTGACAAGAGGAATACAACATTTGAAGCCCATGTCCAGGATCCGTCTGTGTGTGGTGGCTCTTGATGCACTGACTCCAGCCTCAGTCCACTCCTTGTGAAAGTCACCAACACTTTTGAATGGCCTTTTCCTGACAATCCTCTCCAGGCTGCGGTCATCCATGCTGCTTGTGCACCTTTTTCTTCCACACTTTTCCCTTCCACATAACTTTCTATTAATGTGCTTTGATACAGCACTTTGGGAACATCCAACTTCTTTTGCAATTACCTTTTGAGGCTTTCCCTCCTTATGGAGGGTGTCAATGATGGTTTTCTGCACAACTGTCAGGTCAGCAGTCCTTCCCATGATTGTGATTCCTACTGAACCAGACTGAGAGATCATTTAAAGGCTCAGGAACCCTTTGCAGGTGTTATGGTTTAATTAGCTGATTAGAGTGGGACACTTTGAGCCTAGAATATTGTACCTTTTTTCACAATATGCTAATTTTCTGAGATTGTGGATTTGGGGTTTTCATGAGCTGTAAGCCATAATCATCACAATTATGACAAATCACGGCTTGAACT